GCAAGCACCTTTACAGTGGAAATTTATCATGATACTCAATTGATTGATTAATGCTAATCTACAAAAACATTTTTAATTGATGAAACAGACATGCCTACTTCATTATTTCAAATAAGTGAGGTGGAACTATATTTAGATACACCTAGTATTGGAGTACCAACATTTATGGGTGTGGCATTTAGACCCAAAAATATATAAATAGATACACTTATTAGAATTGAATTAGGATTCTTAAGTTATGATTAATTAAATTGTTAAGTCTTTTAACTTGAAATAGATACACTTATGCCTTCATTATCATTTTCCCATTATTCCCATGATTCTTAAAACCTTTATTTTTATTCAAACAAATACAAACCTGATCAAATTTAATATAAATATAGTGTCAATTGCACTGGAATTACAATCTTATAGACTACTAATAAAATATTTAGAGTTATATATGAAGATATGTATCATACAATAATCTAATATTTTCAAATTCGTCAACCACCAAGGTTACCAACTGATACCTAGACTTAATAGGCTTCATTATAGATTGTCAAAAATATAGAATTGATATCTAAGAAATTTAATAATCCTTTGGTTAGTAGTATTATATCGATAAAAATTGTTCCTATTTATGGAATTTATAGAGTATTAATAGAATTTCCATCTTCTTACACTACAAATATAATAAAATGTGTAATAAATGAAACATCCTCTGTATTTTGTGATTAGGATTCTCTTAATCCAAAAAGATTAATAGTTTATTTAACAAAATATCATGATAGTGAACTAATTAAAGATCCATTTAATCTCACTGTTTATGGGATGATTAATCCAATGGAATTAAATTATAATAGTCGAATATGTGTAATTTTGGATGATGATAACATATTAACACCTTTACTGTTTGGAAATGAAGATAATTTAAATGGGATAACATAATTTGAATATCTTGATGACTATGTTAATAAAAATATTTACAAACAATTATCGACTAGTGATTTTAGATTTTCTCAATCTTAAGCTAGGGCTTATGATTAATATTTAATTGGTAATATTACTTTTTCAATGGGAAGCATTAACGAAATAAATAAATTATATTTGCGAATATCAGATTAATACACAATATATGATTTGAATTGTTAACTTATAAAAGTAGGTGATCAACAATTGAATAATTATATTAGTGAGTGCAACTAAAATTAAAATTATATTGAGATGGATCTGATTACAGATACAGGCAATATTAGATTTAGTCAACAATATTATTTAAAAATATCAAATTTCAGAACATAAGATTTAATATCAATAGATTAATATGCTGTTTTGTAACCTATGATTTAACTCTTCTTAGCATAAGATGATAATATAATTTCATTAGAAAATTAAGTGAATGGATCATTTGTGATGAAAAATTAAAAAATACCATTTTACTGGTACAATCTAGATGCCAATGATTAGTTTACTAGATTAGAAGTGCAACCAGGATTTGAGGATACAAAAACATATAAAATATATCTTAATCATTTTGGACTTGAAAGATTGTATTTAGGTTTAGGAGATGTTTCAGATAGATTCAATTGTACAATTAACTTATAGTTACCAACAATCCATGAAGATATTATTGTCTTTGGTTAGAGCAGTAAGTATGCCAAACAATCTTTTAGTAGTTAAACTATCACCTAACCTAAATACATTGTCAAATCAATGACCGATGATACATTCTATGAAACAATTAAGGATACTGAATTGGTAATTAATCCTGGAGATAGTGGATTCATATTCAGTGTAGCATCAAAATCATTAATAAATATCAAAATTAGAGTTCAAATAAAATATACTATTTCATTTCCTGATCGTAATTCATGGAATCCTATTTATTATTATAATCCATTTACAGAAATTCCTGTTTTATATTTAGAAATTATTAATAAAGGTTGTGAACTAATTCCGCAAAAGTCTACATACGATTTACCCATTAATGGTTATACGCATCCTATAATAATCGATTCATCTGAATGTATTCCTATTGTTGATACCAAACTGAATGTTACTATTTAAGATAACAATAAATTATAATTAGTTCCTATTTAAATGAGTATATCAAGATATAGATTTGAACTTATTAAAAGAACAACTCGAAAGGCTCCAGAATATAGCTATATTTTTTAAATCAAAGCCACCAATGAAACTCTTCCAGGTATTATTACTTAAATATTGGTTAATAACATACCAATCTCGATATCTGCAATATTATAGTATACTGAATAACCCAAAGCAACTCCCTTGAAGGGATTATACAGTTAAACATCAAACACTATTTCTTTATCAATGACATGTTCTTAACCTTCTGAAATTTTACTTGTGATTGGAATTGATGAAATTACAGATGAATCATTCGAAAAAATAAAATCTAATTCAATTTCTAACGAACTCACAGGAGATTATGATTTATTTAAATTATAACCTGAAAATTCAACCTTACAATAGGAGAGCAGTTACCTTCTCAAATATGAGATACTGCCTTC